ACGGCGCGATATCTGACGCGCAGCTCCACCTCCGCATGCCTGTTTTTTTCAAGGTCTGTGGTGTCAGCTTCACCCGGCTGCCTTGACTGCTGCTGCAGCAGGCGGGCAGGGACATGGATGGGTCCCTACTGACTGGACTCCGCTACACCGCTCTGACGGATTGAAGCAGCGGCCGAATCACCAGCTCTGTGCATTAGCTTAATCGGCCCTGCTGTAATAAGCTACTGCTTGGCCCCGACATTGCGGACCAGGAACAGCAAGCAGGTGCTTTCAGGGGGAGCAATGTGCTTCTAAATACCACCCCCCACCATCGAGCGCCAAAGGAGTATTTTGCCGTGCACTCGTCCGTGGCCCATCCCTGTTGTTTTCATACCTTTCTCGGCCTTTTGGCTCAGATCATGTGTAGTATCTGTTCTTATTAGCTTAATCGCTAATATGGTCCTCATTGAGGACCTGCGATTAACTTGAATATTTCTCGGGGGCTTGTCAATGGTGCGCTTGCGCATCCGACTTGCCAGCATGGTTGCGGCCTTACACTACCGCTGCAGCCGTGCACCCGCCCATACGAAAATGTACAACTGGGCTGGAGGGTGCCGTGCGCTGCTGAGCTGTGCTGTGCTGATCGCTGTGCTGTGCTGATCGCTGTGCTGTGCTGTGCCCATCCATCTGCATGCTTGTAAACCCAGCTGTAAGCTCGTCCAACGTGTGCAGTACCTGACGTGCTCGTGGTAACCATTCCATCAGTCACCGCCCCGCGCCGCGTGGGAACGACTTCAATCAGGCATCGTACATTACTCGTACGACACCGTACGTACAGCAAAAGGAGGACCGAGCGGATTTGTGCACATGGCCTAGGTAATAGGGTGTGGCGGCCGCTTGATCATGACGCCGGTCGTTATTGGCATATGTAGAGGTAGGTACCCCGGTAGGTAAGTAGGTAGAGGGCCGATGTGATTGTGGATAGGGAGGCTGCAGGAAGGCAGGAAAGCAGCAGGAAGAGAGGCTTGTGATGGCTGCACACCGCCCTGTGAAACCCCCTGATACCCCATGCACGCCTCGCTGTGCTGTGTTTTCCTGTCCGGGTACAGATGCCCTTCCTTGGCCCGTACGTGTTCGATGTGGATGCTGTGGATTCCAACCCCTGCGCATGGCATGGCCGCGGCGGCCTCACGGTTGGCTAGCGCCAAGTGTCCATTACAGGGCACACGTTGCTTTTACAATGCCAAGCCTTTATTACAGCCAAATCTTTGTTTTCTTGAGTAGTTGCCTTACCGCTTAGGGGTCGTTCAGACGGAGGGGTACCTGCAGGCAGGANAGTTAGTGCTTGCTTCCGTGGGAGGGGGCGAGCCTGGTTACCGAGCGACTCTGCTTCTGAAGCCTGTAGATTAGGCAGAAGCCGCAGCGGAAACCTGTCAGTATGAACTCGCTATGAACTCGCGAAATTGCTCTTTCCGTCGCACTCCTGCGACTTATTCTAGCCCTGTACGGTCCAGCCGTACACACCAAGGACATTCAACCGAGTACACGCTCGGCAAATACACAGAAAACTTTTGTTTTCTTTCGTTTCGCTCATAAAGCCTACAGTTACAGGCGCGATATCTGACGCGCAGCTCCACCTCCGCATGCCTGTTTTTTTCAAGGTCTGTGGCGTCAGCTTCACCCGGCTGCCTTGACTGCTGCTGCAGCAGGCGGGCAGGGACATGGATGGGTCCCTACTGACTGGACTCCGCTACACCGCTCTGACGGATTGAAGCAGCGGCCGAATCACCAGCTCTGTGCATTAGCTTAATCGGCCCTGCTGTAATAAGCTACTGCTTGGCCCCGACATTGCGGACCAGGAACAGCAAGCAGGTGCTTTCAGGGGGAGCAATGTGCTTCTAAATACCACCCCCCACCATCGAGCGCCAAAGGAGTATTTTGCCGTGCACTCGTCCGTGGCCCATCCCTGTTGTTTTCATACCTTTCTCGGCCTTTTGGCTCAGATCATGTGTAGTATCTGTTCTTATTAGCTTAATCGCTAATATGGTCCTCATTGAGGACCTGCGATTAACTTGAATATTTCTCGGGGGCTTGTCAATGGTGCGCTTGCGCATCCGACTTGCCAGCATGGTTGCGGCCTTACACTACCGCTGCAGCCGTGCACCCGCCCATACGAAAATGTACAACTGGGCTGGAGGGTGCCGTGCGCTGCTGAGCTGTGCTGTGCTGATCGCTGTGCTGTGCTGATCGCTGTGCTGTGCTGTGCTGTGCCCATCCATCTGCATGCTTGTAAACCCAGCTGTAAGCTCGTCCAACGTGTGCAGTACCTGACGTGCTCGTGGTAACCATTCCATCAGTCACCGCCCCGCGCCGCGTGGGAACGACTTCAATCAGGCATCGTACATTACTCGTACGACACCGTACGTACAGCAAAAGGAGGACCGAGCGGATTTGTGCACATGGCCTAGGTAATAGGGTGTGGCGGCCGCTTGATCATGACGCCGGTCGTTATTGGCATATGTAGAGGTAGGTACCCCGGTAGGTAAGTAGGTAGAGGGCCGATGTGATTGTGGATAGGGAGGCTGCAGGAAGGCAGGAAAGCAGCAGGAAGAGAGGCTTGTGATGGCTGCACACCGCCCTGTGAAACCNCCTGATACCCCATGCACGCCTCGCTGTGCTGTGTTTTCCTGTCCGGGTACAGATGCCCTTCCTTGGCCCGTACGTGTTCGATGTGGATGCTGTGGATTCCAACCCCTGCGCATGGCATGGCCGCGGCGGCCTCACGGTTGGCTAGCGCCAAGTGTCCATTACAGGGCACACGTTGCTTTTACAATGCCAAGCCTTTATTACAGCCAAATCTTTGTTTTCTTGAGTAGTTGCCTTACCGCTTAGGGGTCGTTCAGACGGAGGGGTACCTGCAGGCAGGAAAGTTAGTGCTTGCTTCCGTGGGAGGGGGCGAGCCTGGTTACCGAGCGACTCTGCTTCTGAAGCCTGTAGGTTAGGCAGAAGCCGCAGCGGAAACCTGTCAGTATGAACTCGCTATGAACTCGCGAACTTGCTCTTTCCGTCGCACTCCTGCGACTTATTCTAGCCCTGTACGGTCCAGCCGTACACACCACGGACATTCAACCGAGTACACGCTCGGCAAATACACAGAAAACTTTTGTTTTCTTTCGTTTCGCTCATAAAGCCTACAGTTACAGGCGCGATATCTGACGCGCAGCTCCACCTCCGCATGCCTGTTTTTTTCAAGGTCTGTGGCGTCAGCTTCACCCGGCTGCCTTGACTGCTGCTGCAGCAGGCGGGCAGGGACATGGATGGGTCCCTACTGACTGGACTCCGCTACACCGCTCTGACGGATTGAAGCAGCGGCCGAATCACCAGCTCTGTGCATTAGCTTAATCGGCCCTGCTGTAATAAGCTACTGCTTGGCCCCGACATTGCGGACCAGGAACAGCAAGCAGGTGCTTTCAGGGGGAGCAATGTGCTTCTAAATACCACCCCCCACCATCGAGCGCAAGCTTGGCCAAAGGAGTATTTTGCCGTGCACTCGTCCGTGGCCCATCCCTGTTGTTTTCATACCTTTCTCGGCCTTTTGGCTCAGATCATGTGTAGTATCTGTTCTTATTAGCTTAATCGCTAATATGGTCCTCATTGAGGACCTGCGATTAACTTGAATATTTCTCGGGGGCTTGTCAATGGTGCGCTTGCGCATCCGACTTGCCAGCATGGTTGCGGCCTTACACTACCGCTGCAGCCGTGCACCCGCCCATACGAAAATGTACAACTGGGCTGGAGGGTGCCGTGCGCTGCTGAGCTGTGCTGTGCTGATCGCTGTGCTGTGCTGATCGCTGTGCTGTGCTGTGCCCATCCATCTGCATGCTTGTAAACCCAGCTGTAAGCTCGTCCAACGTGTGCAGTACCTGACGTGCTCGTGGTAACCATTCCATCAGTCACCGCCCCGCGCCGCGTGGGAACGACTTCAATCAGACATCGTACATTACTCGTACGACACCGTACGTACAGCAAAAGGAGGACCGAGCGGATTTGTGCACATGCCTAGGTAATAGGGTGGGCGGCCGCTGATCATGACGC